TTGTTGTTGTTGTTGTTGTTGTTATTATTGTTATTATTTGTCTGAAATGGTATAGGGTTTCCTGCCTCAGCAGGGGGTTGGACTAGATGACCTCCAAGGTCCGTTCCAACTTTATTATTGTTGTTTTAATAAATTAATAATAATTTATTATTATTTTCTTTCCCAAGACGGGGATAGATTGGATGATCTCACCTGTCCCCTCTCTGAGCTCCAGGGTCCGGTAGCCCTCGAGCCATTGGTAGCAAGGAAAATGGAAAATCTGGCCATCCGGCGTGGTCAGCTGGACGAAGTCGCAGAACCAGGGATCCTCGGGGAAAAATTGATACGGTTCCTTGTGGAGACGGATTAAAAGCAGGGGACCCAGGTCACGGTCGCTCAGGATCTCGTAGTTGTCCACCTAAGGGAAGAAGAGGATCTGTTGCAGAATAGAATAGAATAGAATAGAATAGAATAGAATAGAATAGAATAGAACAGAATAGAACAGAATAAGAAATAGAATAGAATAAGAAATAGAATAGAATAGAATAGAATAAGAAAGAATAGAATAGAATAGAATAGAATAAGAAATAGAATAGAATACAGAACAGAATAGAATAGAATAAGAAATAGAATAAGAAATAGAATAGAATAGAATACAGAATAGAATAGAATAGAATAAGAAATAGAATAGAATAAGTAATAGAATAGAATAGAATAATAAAATACAGAATAGAATAAAATAGAATAGCATAAGAAATAGAATAGAATAGAATAGAATAGAATAGAATAGAATAGAATAGAATAGAATAGAATTTGGCAAGGTTGCAAAGCCTAAAGATGGCCTCTCCCCCCCCGCCACACCCACCGCCCCACCTGAGCCCAGGGTGCCAATCTCACCGCCCCGTGGATGAAGTCCTTCCCGGTCTTATCCAGCAGCTGCTTGGGGCTTTCCCCCTTTAAGCCCACCAGGGTGATGGAGACGGAGTCGAAGGTGGCCGAACCCCAGAGCTTTCCGGTGGCGACTTGGACTTTGTACACCAAGGACGGCGTTGCTTCGCTGCGGGACCCAGAGCTCCACCTTCTCCCCAAATTCTTCTGTTCCTGCTTCTGGAGGAGGAGAAAAGGCGAGATGGAGGATTGCAGGCTTTGGATTGGAAAGAACGGCAGCCATTTTTGCTAATATAAGCGGGTGATAGCAAAGGGGCTTTTTTTTCAGGACTTCCATGTGTTTTTTTCTTCTTCTGAAGACGTTTCGCTTCTCATCCCAGGAGCTTCTTCAGTTCTGACGGGATGGCGGGGAAAGGGAAGGATTTATACTCCTTTGCAGACAGCTGGTCATTTGCACCCTTTTAGAGGGTCGTTGAGACCCTCAGTTGCCCCTTTTTCAGGAGGCAACTGGACTTTCTGGTTTTTCTTCTGAAGACGTTTTGCTTCTCATCCCAGGAGCTTCTTCAGCTGTGACTGGAAGGTGGGGAATGGAAGGATTTATACTCCTTGCAGACAGCTGGTCATTTGCACCCTTTTAGAGAGCCATTGAGGCCACTTGGAGCTTTACCTGTGTCCTCAGGCTCACCTGAGCAGTGCAAATTGGCGTGGAACTGCTGAAAGGACTGTGTGGTAGGCTGGAGGATGTGATGTGCACCACTCAGATGATCCTGAGGACACAGACAAAACTCCAGGTGGCCTCAACGGCTCTCTAAAAGGCAAATGACCAGTTGTCTGCAAGGAGTATAAATCCTTCCAGTCCCCACCATCCAGTCAAGAACTGAGGAAGCTTCTTAGATGAAAGCGAAACGTCTTCAAAGGAAAACAAAGGAAGTCCTGAAAAAACACCTTTGAGACAAATCTCCAAGTGGCCTCAACGACCCTCTAAAAGAAGGCAAATGACCAGCTGTCTGCAAGGAGGATAAATCCTTCCATTCCCCACCATCCAGTCGGAGCTGAAGAAGCTTCTGGGATGGGAAGCAAAACGTCTTCGAAGAAAAATAACGGAAGTCCAGTTGCCTCTTGGAAAAAAGCACCTCCATAAACAGTGATAGTATATAAAGATTCTTAAGTGCAAGATTCTTAAGTCCTCAGCTTACGGCCGCAACCGGGCCCCAAATTTCCGTCGTTTAAGGGGGACCTCTGCCGTGTGACTTTCTCAACGCTTTACGACCTTCTCAGCCATCGTTGTTAAGCGGGTCACCCGGTTATGAAGCGTTTCCCCACTGACTTTCCTCGGCCGAAGGCCTGCCAAAGGGGGGAATCAAGTGACCCCAGCAGACACGGCGACCGTCATAAGTACGAGTCGGTTGCCAAGCGTTCGAATTTCGATCACGTGACCGGGCGGGAGGCTGCCAACGGTCGTAACGGGGAGAAATGGGTCGCAAGTCCCCTTTTTCCGCTGCTGTTGTTAACTGTGAACAGTCCCTAAACAGACCGTCGTAAGGTGAGGACAGCCTGTAGACGTGGTTTGCGCCGCCAGGAAGAAAAAAAAAAGCAGACATGGTGAAATTGTTCCAAGGGGAGAATATCTTTCGTTATGTTTTCTTTTTTAATTTGGAAATCGCTTCTGGATTTTGTGCTTGGGATGAAAAAAAAAAACCTCCGGACTTTGGTTTTGCAGATTAGATCGATTTCTTGTTCCAGAAATGGCTAGTTATTTATTCATGTGCAACAGTGAAAAAGTTGAGACCGTGAGGTTATTTTAAAAAGGCTTTTTTAAAATATGCTTTTTTTTTCTTTTTCTTTTTTCCCTTCTCCCTCGTGTTTTCTCCCCCCCCCTCTCTTTTTTCCTTCCCCGAATTTCCTAGAGGTTTGTATTTTTTAATACTTTGACAAAACAATAAAAGTCAGTGCTTAAAGAAAAAAAAGATGGATGGAGGATGGAGAAAGGAGGAAGTTTATCTCGCCAGAAGCCGAAGCACCTAACATTTCCCCTCCCCCCCTTTGACCACGGAAATTTGGCCTCAAGGATGCGTCTCCCATCTTGCAAGCTTGACCGGTTGCACTGGCCAATAAAACTATACTTGGAGACTTTGGTCATTGTAATAAGCAACATACATATACGTGTGTTACACGTACACACAGATTATATATATATACACACACACATATATATACACACATATATACACAAACATATATACACAAACATATATACACACACATATCTACACACATATATATATACACACACATATATACACACACATATACACACTATTCTCCAAAGCGCCTGAAAGGTGGGATGGAAACTAATTGAGGAGAGAAGCAATGGGTCCAGTGGAACAACTTGCCACCAGAAGTTATGAATGCTCCATTACTGGAGGCTTTTAAGAAGAGATTGGACAGCCATTTGTCCAAAATGGGATAGGGTTTCCTGCCTGAGCAGGGGGTTGGACTAGATGACCTCCAAGGTCCCTTCCAACTCTGTTATTCTGTTATTCTTTTTTCCTTCCTTCCTTCCTTCCTTCCT